GCTCTAAGCGATTTTTAAAAGTGTGCACGTAACTTAGCAATTAATATTAACAACAACAACCATTACAGGTAACATAAGTAAAAATGAACAGCTTCAAATATATTGTAGCTCTAACTACCCGCACTTTGACAGATGCAAAATATACTGACAAATCGAAACCCAAAAAAAAACCATAAAAAGCATGCTTAAATGTATATTTTTTTAGCTTAAACCGCCGAAATATGCGCGCTAAATTGATTTGTAGCGTGTTCGAGCTTGTCAAAAAAGGCAAATATATTACTACAAAAAATGTGTAAATTTTCTAAGCGCACGCAATTATAGTAAAAGTAATTAAATATTATTTAGTTGCACGGAAAAGTCATATTTAGAAAAGATTATACGTATTAGCGGTTTGTAAATAAACATTTTTAATTAATAAAAAATATTACTTTTTATACAATTTACTCCCCGACGGGGAATTGAACCCCGGTCTCCCGCGTGACAGGCGGGGATACTGACCACTATACTATCGAGGATTGGTATTAAAATACTTTCACATTATGTTGAATTACCAAAGAGCTGAATATTTATCAGCAACAATATTTGTTTTTATTTATGCAAATTAAAATTTATTTTTGGTGAAAATGTATGGCTTTTCTTACTTTTCGTTTTTATTTTTTTATATTTGAAAGCTTTTGCGGTTCTTGCTGCTTAATCGTTTTATATAAATTTTATGTGCTGTGATTAAAACAAAAATGAGATTGCTTAAAAATTCAGCAAAAAAATAAATAGAAACTACAAAAACACAACAACACCAAAGAGTAGGTCGCTCGGCATAAATATGCAAATCAAAGTGGTCGAAAAAATACAAATTTAAAGATTTATGCAAACAGCTAAATTTATGACACGCAAAGACAAAAGCTCTACGAAAAATTGCTGAGAGTTGAGATATAATTGTAATATTTATTACACTTACAAAGTTAACAAAACTAAAGTAGACAGTTTATAGTTGAGCGGTTGGCGATTACTTTGTTTTACGCTTTATTGATTTTTTACAGCTCATAACTGTTTATTACTGTGGTTTTTACAAAAGTAAGAGTTGCAAATTCAGCGTTTTGGTTTATTTCCTTTTACAATTTTCGGTTTTTGCATATTTGGTTTTGATAGCAGTGTAAAAGTAAGTTTAAGAAATTATAGCAATTTATAGGAAATGCTGAAAAATAGTAAATTTAAGAATTTTTTAATATTTTTGAAATTTTTTTTTTTAATAAAATTTTTATCTAAAAGTATTATATTTAAATTCTCCTAAAAAAATAATATTATTTGATTCCTATTTAAAAGCATATTTGAGTTCTGAGAAAAGATTTTTTAAATATAAACAAACTGACTCTTTTAGCATAGAAAAATACAAAATTATAATAAATATAAATATAAATTTTATATTATTTTTTTAAGCAATTTTCACTTTTTGCATACTAGATGCATATTTACATAAACATTATATTTAAATTTCTATTTATTTGTGATTAACCCAATATCTACAAACCAATCAAAGTTCTGTGTTTTATTTCAGTTCCGCTATAATATTAATTTCTAATCATTGACTTCCGCTGCTGTTTGAAAATCAATTTTTTACTAATTTTGGTGAAATTAATACTTTCAAAATTTCATGATTACAAATAATTTTGCCTCAAAATTTCAGCATCACATTTTAATCACAACGAAGCATAGCAAGTGCCACGCGTATGCGCTGTACATTTTTCGCTACTCTACTTTACTCATACCTTACACACATACAACACTATATTTGGTATATTTATGGTTTTATATTATATGGACGGACATAAGATGTGTCATATTGTCAATAACACGTAAACCTATTAGTCAATGCAACTGTCTTAACACCTTTTCACTTACAACTGACACCTCACCGATTTCCTTGGTCACACTTGTCATAAAAAATTGCTACAATATGAATGAACACAATTTTGCTGTACCTAGCTTTGCTGCAGTTGCTCAAAGTAGTAAAATAAGTAAATAGTTACATACAAACATAAGTATTGTAATCCGCTCTCAGCTGTCAGCTTAAAAATCGCTTTAACAGCTGTTGATGACAGCTACAACGAGCACAGTTAGCAACTATCAGCTGATGTTGACATTAGTGAGGCTTAAGTAAGCGTTAAAGTCAAAAGCGTATTTTACATGTAATGCATAAATAAATTATATTAAAATATGTGCTTGTATGTATTTTACACAGTTTCTGCTTCATTCATAAACATTTTAGCTCACAACCGACATGAAGACATGATAAATGCAAGAAAACCAAAAATATGATGAAAACACGCAAGGCGAAGACTTTCAAGTATGGGAATTTAATTGAAAATATAAATTTGTATGTATGTTTGTGATACAAAAATTGTCGTCTACCGCTGCCAGCGGCATTTCACATGAGCCATATGAGCACAAAATTATTTGAATAAGTATGCGAATGTACAATAATTAAAGAAAAAACTTTAGCTAAAGTGGAGATTACGAAGCGACTTTGTAAAAGCAAACAATAAAATATTGTTGGTGAAAAATTGTAAAGTTTTATCAAAGCGTGTTGACCTCTAATTTTACTGGTGGCTTCAGTTTGTTTGTGACAGTGGGATGTAATTAACAAAAATTACGCACATCTACAATACCAAATTTGTTATGGTGCCAAGGAACCTATGTACCAAGTTTCAGCTAGATATCTCAATTTGTACTCAAGTTGCACAATCGGACGGACGGACAGGCAGAGAGACATCCGAATTTCAACTCGTCTCGTCATCCCGATCATTTATGTATAAATAATATAACTCTATATCTATCTTGATTAGTTTTAGGTGATACACACAACCGTTAGGAGAACAAAACTAGTATACTCTGTAGCAACATGTTGCAAGACTACATAAATATTATTTTTTTGAAAAACAACTAAAATTTCTGAAGACAGTATTTTGATTGTTATTTAAAAATTTTTATTATTTTTAATAGAATTTATTTTATGATTTTACACAAAAATAATATGGACGCCAATACAAAATTCAAATTTCATTTAAATAAAAATAAGTAATTGTTAAAAAATATTTAGATTAAATTAAATTTTGAAAAAATCAAAATAAATTTTTTTCATTACAAATGATTAAAATCACAACAGTGTTTCAGTTTTAATTTTAAATTACTTGTAAAATGCCAACATCGTTTCAAATTTTTCTCATCAAGTCTATGTGTTGAACACAACTTCATAAAAAATTCTACGAGTTTTTTTTTTAATTGCAACTGCAAAATAATTTTTTTTTTAATAAAAAACAACGTTTTTTTTTTAAATTCTGTAATAGCTTACTTTTGTAGACTTCCACAAAATCTTTAAAAACAAATTTTGCTACAAAGCTGAGGCAATTCTTCACAAACAATTTATTAATTAAATGTTGCATCAAAAAATCTTTCTTAAATTGGAACAAAATAAAAAAGCTTGACATCCAAAAATACTAAAATTTTTTGTATACTACTTGGCCCACTGTAACACAAACATTTCTTCGTGAACGCCGATTGTACAAACAATTGCTAGTAGCTGTGCTCAAGTTAGCGATTTTGTTTTTGGCTTTCTTTGTGGTCTTTAGACGCTCACAGTCACCCCGCTTACCAATTTGCCATGCCAACAGTAGCTTGCATGCGCCAGCCAAAGAGTCGCGCATGCGCATAATGTAAACATGAGTTGACAAATTTTCAACTTGAACCACGATTACGATGAGCGCACAAACACATAAACCAGCTAAACATTTATACGCAGAAACATATAAGTAAAGGCAATAAGTGGCTGCAATCGTTACATGGTGTTGTTATTTGTGCTTTGCTATGAAATTGGCATTAGATACAATATAATGCCATTTAGTTACATGTAGACGATAATGTGTATGTATGTAATTTTTGCGATTGCGCGGCACTGCTGAGGATGCGCTTGTGACTTTTTCACTTACACAGTTTTATTTTAACGCTATTGCATTTTTAGGTATGACTTCGGCGCATATCACTCACTGTCTTGTAACGAAATACATACCTATCTTTGTGCATAATGTTGCATGATTCTGTTTCAAAGTGAAGACAAACTAAAAAAATAAATATTGTTATGAAAGTTTTACAGTCAACAGCATCATAAATTTTTGATATTTTTCTCCGTTAATGAGCTCTACATAGCAAAAATATTATTAGCAAACATATTATGCATTATATGTGTATGTACGTATAGGCATGCGCAGACGCTGCAATTAAACTTGATGTATGCTGCAATTGGTTCATTGGCTTTTCATGATGGTTGGTAGGCACATCATAATAGTGTTGTCTATATTTGTATATACAAGTATGTATGTATAATGACAGACTTATTTTTTATTGCCGGCTCTGATGGTGATGAAATCTTAGAAATAATGGAACTTTACTTGATAACTTAAGAAATTCAAACCCTTGTCAAATATTAGCCAAGTCTACAGTCAACTTAGAAGCAGTTATCAATGATTGGCAAAGCGCCATCGTAGAAATGCCATGTGGACCAGGCAGACTAACCTTGCATGCGCAGGATCTCTAGAGCGCGACGTACTATGATGTTTATGGCAGTCAACGAATACACTTTTATACTGAATTAATGCAGAGATTTTCGGTATTTGATAAATTATAAGAAAATACCTATATACTAGCCAGTCAACCGTGGTATTTCTTGAAAATATTATACAATATCAATATGGCAATAAGTTCTGTGCATTGTGTCCTGTTTTCGCGCTGTTCGTACTAAGTTGCTTTCGATTCAATTTGTTTACGTTGCAGTAGTGAAACGCGACGGAAATTATAATTTTATAATTTAAAATTCTAAGCGTAAAATCGTCAACAACTTTAGATAAACACACTTATCTACCGTCTAGGTATTTGACAGATAGTATTTTAGGTGTGCCTGCTTTAGTATAAAAGCTCGACAATTTACATGTTAAATTATCAGTTTAATTGAAACAGTTACAAATAATCAACATGAAAGCCTTCATTTGCTTAATCGTGGCTCTGGCTCTGGCCGCACCAGCCCTCGGGGAGGTCTTGAACCGTTGCTCTATGGCTCGTGCGATGTCACGCTTGGGTGTTCCCAGGGATCAATTGGCTCGTTGGGCTTGTATTGCTGAACACGAGAGCTCCTACCGCACTGACGTCGTCGGTCCAACCAACTACAATGGCTCCAACGATTACGGTCTCTTCCAAATCAACGACTACTACTGGTGCCAACCTGCCAGCGGTCGCTTCTCCTACAATCAGTGTCACATCGACTGCAATGGATTGTTAACCGACAACATCGAACCCATAGTACGTTGCGCCCAAGAGGTCCTGCGCATGCAAGGTTGGTCTGCCTGGTCCACATGGCATTTCTGCGATGGCGCTTTGCCAAGCATTGATGACTGCTTCTAAGTAGACTGTCAATTTGGCTAATATTTGACAAGGATTGGAATAAATGATCACTGCAAAGTAATGAGAAAGTATTTGTTGATTTTGTAATGGGTTCATTAGGCTTATGTTACATACAAATCTATACTGGCGATGTAGTTTTAAGTTCCACGTGGCTGATCACTTATTTACACTCATTCTGTTTGATACTAATAAACTCGGCTAAAGAGTTTAATTAACATGTTTGTAAAAAGTTGTGGATCTTTGGAAATCTTAACATTGGTAGGGTTCAAACAAACTTGAGCTTGAGTTAGGTTAGATAAAATACTCAAATTTGAAAGCTCGTTCAATTTACTAAATCCCACTAATGAAACAATTATAAAGGTATAAGGTCTGCTCGAATACCTTACAAGGAATGTACTTGGCGATATTTAATATATTGTATATTCTCGCACGTGTATATCTACATCAATTGACAAGTTTCGGATACAACTTTAGTTCGGAAGCATCATATGTTGAATATATGTACATATTTATATTTTCTTGTCACTTCTCTACTTTACTAAATTTTTCTCAAAACCTCTTGAACCTGATGAAATCTGCATAAGCTATTTACAACCAATCTAACAACAACTTAATTATCCTATCTCACAAGAGTCAAAAGGTGTCAAATATTTGTGAAAACACACAGAAATTACTAAAATCCAAATTAACTGAGAACAGTGAGGTCACCAGTGTCATACCACAGCCGGGAAGTATTTTTGACTGATTGAGTGCGCCAGCCAACGTAGCTGCATCTGCGCTAGCGCGTGGGTGTCAGCTACATTTCTGGACATCCACAGCGGCCTGGCGTTGAAAGACAGCTAATCAAATGGGAAGTCAAACAAGTCACAGCACGCAGCAGGTTAAACCACGAGCACAGCAGGAAGAACTTGGCAAATAGAAAGAGTGGCTGCAAAAGTAGCAAACAAAAAAAAGCCACAAACTCGTCTGTGGTTTATAACGCCAACACGCGCATGCGCGTCAAGTATTTGCACACTAATGACCGGCAGTGTCGGCTGCGCGACGTTGTGGAAATGTAGTCGGTTGACTTGCTTGGGTGCCGTTTAATGCGGCACTTTAAATGTGGCTGCCACTTCTCTGGTGAAGACGAAAAATTGTTGTACTTACAATTTGCTGGCTGACTGAATGAATGTCTCGTTCGATACGGTTGGTTGTGTATACACCGTTATGGCCGAGTGCCTAAATTGCTGATTGCATGTGGCAGTCATTCTTTTCATTTTTCTTTGTTGCTTTTCTGCAAAGTACCAACATTTAGCAAATGTTTACCAAAGCTACTGATTATTCGCTTAGATAATTTATTCAATAACCCGGCAAAATGAAGAAAAGCTTGCTTACTTGCAGTTACGTGGTATTCTAAATGTACCCGGTGAAAGCCGCAGTTGCATGTGCTTGCTCTCCGACAAACTGCCAACTTCAAAACTGTCATTATCTGCTGCCTTACTCCGTGTGCCGACAGTTGTTCGTACTTGCCTTTTGGCTTAGCTATTGGCGCCAAGGGTTAAGTGTGGCGAGGTCAGCGAACATTAGCTGTACCATGGAGATTCACTGGAATTAAATCGTAGATGAGGGTAATGCCAACAGAGTTTAAAAAAAATAGTAATATAAAATTGATATCAGTAGCGTGTATAGCTCGATCTCTCCCACTTAGTATGACTTGTTACTAGGAGTCGAGTTACTATTTCGATTGGGTCTACCATTTTGCTGCTGTCATTTTTTTACTTCCTATTCAACCTGTTATTTCCATAGGGAACTAGAATATTCAAAAATTTCTGAACTGTTTGCACTTAAACTGAGCTCGCTGTAGCTTTCAGGTCCTTTTTTGGTTGCTTTATTTTAAAGTCTGACGTTCGATTTTTCACATCTGTTTTCCGTTTATACTTTTTTCCTCAAATATCAAGATTCAACTTTTGAAAGGCTTGTCATTTTAATACTTTGACTTTCATAGATAATGTTTAATATTCAATTAATTATGTTTAAATATAGTAAACATATATACGTATATAGTATAATAATATACGTATAGATATCATCGGCAAAGGCCGGATGCTCGCGCCAAATTAATAAAGCGTGTGAGAATTCTTATCTTGGATATAACGCAATCAGCAGAACACAAAAGAATAAATAAACGAAAGTTGCGCATTCATTGCTAATATTAGATTACCAAAATCAAAATATTTATAATATAAATTAACATTTTTCAGAAGTGTTAAGAACATAAAAGTTGCTCGACAACGCGATAAGCTTGCTCATACATAATTTTAAATAAAACTTAAATAAAATAATATCTTCAAAGGTAGCTTTTTTGTCTTAATAAACAAGTGATAAATCACAAACTTGCCTTAAAATGTCAATATTTGATAATATTTTGACCAACAGACTTTTTAAAGTCGATATCTCCGCCTGGCGAAATGCTGGTATTCACCGCACAATTACGATTATCAATGAAGTGAAGATATATGTAGTTGATATAAGCAGGTCTAAGGCGACTTACTTAAGTGCGTACAAAAACATATAATAAACAAAGCTTATCATATATATTGTATATATATAACCGATCAATTATCAAGTTAATCTAGAAAATAAAAATTGTTAAAAAAAATGGGACAATTGAGAAAATATTTTATATGCCTGACTGTTGTTACAGTGATACTCTTGAATAGTAGACATGTTTTATGACATTTCCGTAAGGCAAAGAAAGAAACTGTACCTTGAAATTTGATTATCTTCGAAGACACGAGCGATTAGAGTAGAGCTCATTCAAATTTTAGATTTTATACATGAATTTTAGTTAAAGAGTTATAGGTTGACGATCCTCTCAAAATAGTATAAGGACAAATATTTCATGAAAATCGATTTCGTATCCAGTCTATTATATATATATATATATATATATATATGTATAGGAGTAATTGATTAGTATAAATACGACTATCTTCAACATAAACGCATGTCTTCGCTTCGGTGCATGACTTAACTCTGGAAGATTAAGGGATACAGCTTCAGTTATTCAATAATATGCCACTTGAAAGGCCTTTATAGTGTTTTATCCATAATGTTAATGTTATAATAGCTTATTATAGTACACATGGATCATTAGACCCTTATATGATTACTAATAAGCAACCGAAATATCTTCAGTTATGCTTCGAAAATCACAGTGGCACATAAATAGGCGCCAGAGCGATTAGTAAACGGTTTTTAGACAACTTTAATGTAGCGTAACTAGCAAATGAGCCAACAACTGAGTATAATATCTTGTGGCAATATTTCATGAGCTAATATGAGGCAAAATGTTATTGTGATTATATTTTATTTGCATGGCAATGCTTGGTTGACTCAATAATTCGCTTTGGAAAACGAGCGACAAAGGTTGGCGGTTTGTGTTAATGAGTAAAATTGTGTCAGTGAATATACGATGACAACAAAAATGGTGTCATAATTGGTGGCGGCAGTATCACGTTTTAGGAAACATATGTTATGGATAAGTATAGAAATATATAATATGTACTTATGCTTTTAAATTATATACAAAACGCGCTTATAGTCAAAATCGGCGCTATTTTGCATTGTCGATATTATACGAGCGTATGTACAGACGTAAATATTTGTAAATATTACAATATTTTATTTTTAAGTTTCGTTTTATATTTGTCCTAAATTTAATTAAAGATTTTGTGTGCAAAAAAAATTTGCACTTAAAATTTTCCAACCTCTAATTTAATTACTACAGCTACGAGAGCTTGGCCAAAGCAACTGACTAGAGTTTTTAATTATTTCCGTTATATTGCTATTCGCGATATTATTTGATTATTATTTTTTATTTATTTTATTTGTCTTCATAACACCTTAATAATTGAAAACTTTTTGTGTTAATTTGTTGTGTGAAGGTCGCTATATTGGCAATAATTTGGGTAAATTACTTTGCTTAATAAAGTAATGAATAACGGTTTTACAATATGTGTAATTGGTTCCAATATACATGGAACTATCTTTTATGTTATTGCATAATTAAGCAAAAACTAGTAGCTTTTATATTTGAGTTATTTTTTTACATTTTGGAGTTCTACAAAATACACGTGGTTTGTATTTTTTTAATACCTAATCAGTAAAGTAGTCAGTTTTCAGTATATTTTTGGACATCTTTGGTGGTATAGAATAATTTCGCTGTTTGCCTTGAACTCGTACATGGTCATACGATTGCTGGCATAAACTTTCAAAAAACCTAAAAAAGTAGCTCCTAGCTAATCGACTTTGAAGATATGGATCAACAGTCCATTTAATCTCCTTTTAACATCAGAAGTCCAGAGACTTTTCTCGCAGTAACCGCCAACATCAATCGATATAGATTTCTATTGACTAATTTCTTTCCCTAACGCGACCAGACACTGTGGAAAGGGTTAGACCATATTTATATTGAGTTAGAACCATTTATATACTGTTTTAGAAAAGCTTTACAAAAACCTCTTTTCCACGACGAGTTTTCGAACACATGTGCATCAGATAAAGAGATTATTCAAAATAAATAACATTGGTGATGCTTTGATGTTTAAAATAATGACAGCTGAAACTTTCTACAGAATCGATTTCATACTAATCACGGTAAACAAACATGCCTCATGCCACTAGATAGGCTCTCAAACGTCATGTGTATATTGTGCAACAAAAACTGTATTGCAAGCAAAAAATAACTATACAAATAAGTGAAATAAGCCATGTAAGAAAAAATAGAGAAATTATTAGAATATCGTAAAGAACAAGATTTTATTCTTTATGAGCCTCAACAGACACAACTAAACGTACGGCACCAGTAAATTGCAATGATGCCGTCTGAACAAGAAACCAAACATTTTTAAAATATGAAACATTAGCAAAGGGAAGGTAAAAAGATTCATTGGAAATAAGAAGAAGTAAAAAAAGAGAAAAATCGGTGAAATAACATTAAACGCCGAAATGAGAATGTGCAAACTAAAGAACATTCACTGAAGGTACGAAACTTTTTTTCGCGCAACACAAACCACAAAACAA